AGGGATGGGGAGCGGGCGCGGAGCAGCCCCGCGGCGGCGGCAGCGGCGATGGCCGAGGCGGGAGGCGGCACCGGGGCCGGCGGGGCTCGGGGCGGGGCGGCCGGGGCGTGTTTCCGGCCAGCTCAGCAGCCGCCTTCCGCTGCCGCCGCGCCGAGCGCCGCCGCCGCCGAGACCCCGGTCCCCACCTCGCCGGGCATCGCGGGCAGCAGCGCCCTGACGAGCAGCAGCGGGAGGAGGCCGCAGAGGCGCCGCCGCCATGCTGAGCGTGTTCCGCTCCATCCCCACGCAGATGGTGGGTAGGGCCCGCCGGGCCGCGGCACCGGGGGACTGCGGGAGGGATGTCCCCTGCGGGGGTGGGTGTCCCCTGCATCCCCCGCGGGGTTGGTACCTGCGTGCGAGGCACGGAGGAGCTGCAGGGTGAATCCGTATAATTCCGGTTTATGAGCTGGGAAGCGGAAATTTAACGTGCTCTAATGCAGAGCTGTGCAGGGGACATCCCTCCGTGCTTTCCCGCCTGGGCTATAGACAGAAGGCAACGCGTGCTCGCTGAGAGCCAGGTTTTCTAAAGTCATGCAAACTCTGGAGATCACCCAGTGCAACCCCCTGCCCAAGGCAGGGGCACCTGGAGCAGGTGACACAGGAACAAGTCCAGGTGGGTTTGGAATGTCTCCAGAGAGGGACACTCCACACCCACCCTAGGCAGCCGGTTCCAGGGCTCTGCCACCCTCACTGCAAAGAAGTTCTTCGTCGTGTTGAGGTGGAACTTGTGTTTTAGTTTAGGGCTGTTGCTCCTCATCCTGTCTCTGGGCACCACTGAAAGGAGTCTGGCACCATCCTCTCGGCACTCGCCTTGGAGACATTTACATGCATTAATGAGATCCCCTCTAAGTGCCACACACTGTATCCCCCCAGCCACACACTCTGCCTTGGTGTTACAGCTTTTTCTTAGTGATGTTAAGCTGACTACAGTGATATTTTGAACTGGCATTACTACCTTGAACAGGCAGCACTTGCTTCTGTTTCCAGGTGGTGTGGTCGAGCCTGCAGGGTAGGTGTTAGAAAAGTAATTCCAGTCTGGTTTGAAAATTGAACAAAATTCAGAGAACCTGTGGTCAGGCTGAGTGTGGGCTCTAACCTGAAGGAGTTTAAGGGGCAGGTTTGTGTTTTGAATAACTGACCAAAAAGTGTCTCTTTTCACAGGACTACAAGGGTCAAAAGTTAGCAGAACAGATTTTTCAAGGAATCATTCTTGTCTCTGCAGTAAGTATATTAGAACTGTGGGTGAGAACATAAAAGGAGTATTTTGTTTTCTGATTTTACAAACATTTTTTTTCTGATTGTTTGGGGTCACTAAAAGCTTTAGACAAAATCAGAGGGGCTGTCATGCATTAAAACTTTACATCTCCCCCTGTTTTACTTTCATTATTGGCCAGCAATTTTGAAAAGGTTAGAAAGGTGGAGGAACTGTGCTTTTGAAAAACCTGTATTCTCCTGCTTCCTCCCCTAGCCCCCCAGTTTAATCATGGCATGGGAAATGTTTTTCTTCATTTAGAGCTTGATTTTTTTAATATACTTTTTTCCCAGGTAATTGGTTTTATCTATGGATACGTCACTGAACAGTTTGGATGGACTGTCTACATAGTTATGGCTGGATTTGCTTTATCATGTTTGGTAAGAATTTTTTGTCTGCAAACTAGAAAATATATGCACTATTTAACATGGAATAATAGTTAAACTAAGAGGCTGTCAGCACAGACTAATGTTTGCTATGTAATTCAGATTGTTAATAGGTATTTGTACTTCCTTTGATCTGCAGAAAGTGCTCTGGAGGCCAGTAAGTGCCTTTTCTGAAATGCTAGCAGGATTTTAGAGAACACTGCAATTAAGTATTGGGTTTGAGTATATTTTTCACTTCAGTTAAATGTTACTGTTAAGTCCAACTAACAGCATTGGTAATAGAAAGGACAGTGAGGCTTCCTGTGCAGTAGGAGCTTGTCACAAGAATTCTGCAGCTGGCCCATGCTGCCCGAGGAGAGCGGCAAGAAGGCAGAGTATGGAATTAGAGGAGTAATTCCTTATTCATACACAGGAGGTGTCCCATGCCAATTGGGGCACACTGAATCCAGTCTTACACGTGGTTCTTAAGCTTTTCAAGAGTTCAGATACAACAGGATTTGACCAATCACTACGTAACTCACTCACACACACACAACTGCTTTGAAAAGCCACTATAATTCTCTGGCATCATCATCCATCTGCTCCTTACTTACTTTAGCATCCCTGAGTTGTTCTGGCCAGAGTTAGTGATCCATGATGCCAGGCAAGGGGAGGGTCTCATAGCAGTGTTGGGATGTGCTGGGATGCTGGTGTCACCTCGGGAGTCCCTTTTTCTTCAGGGTGGGTGCTGTCCTCCTCCTTGCAATGACCTGGGGTCATGACCACGCAGTATAAACTGTAAATACACGTGCCTTTATAGCGTGAAATTGTGTGAGTTTTCTTAGACAGAACAGTTAAGGATTAAAGATTTTCCTAACAAGCTGTACAAAACAGCTCTTTAGCGTCTCAATGTACATGTTCTGACTCCATCCCTTGTCTCCCAGCTGACGCTCCCTCCGTGGCCCATGTACCGCCGCAACCCCCTCAAGTGGCTGCCTGTGCAGGAGTCGGGCACAGAAGACAAGAAGGCAGCAGACAGAAAGCCAAAGAGACACGCTAAAAGCTAAAAGTTACGGCTCTTCACACTGTTACTTTGTTAAATTTTGTTAAATGAATTTCCACTGGGAGATACTTCTTGGCTTAGTTGTTTGGTTTTTTTAATTAGTGCTTTGTATCCTGACATCCACCAAGCCCCGCAGAGAGCGTGAAGGCTCTGAAGCTGCTCTGGAGCTTCAGCGAAGTCACTGAGAACACAAAGATGGGCAAAGGGTAAAGCAAATACCTGATGAAATTCTTCTGTGCTGTATTCATCTCTCAGCCCCCTGTAAAAGATTGCTCACACAGGTAGTTAATGTATCAGACTAGCCTCTCTGATAGTTTAGACAAATTTGTTCCCTGTCCTCCCTGTAGCATTCAGTTACTGGATGTTCCCCCCCCCTCCCCTCCACATTAGCTGGTACCCCTTCTTTGGCAGAATACATCATGATTATGATTCTGTGTGTCTAAACACTGTACAGTAATTTATGTAACTTACATTTTTTCCAGTTAATATTTCAGTTTCCAGCACAAGTTGTACTGCCTTTTGCAACATCTTCTTAGCTGCAGAAACTTAAATAACTTTAGAAGGCTACTGGAGGTCACATCTCACTCAAGTATTTTAGTAAAAAGGAACACAGTGAATCAAACCAAGTCCAGTTAAGCTACTGTTATAGCATAAAAGATAATACAGACCTGGACTTATACTGAAATATTTCTAACCATGTGTAAAACAAGCTGGTAACAAGTACTGTGAAACAGTACATACCCCACAGCTCTGAAAATCACTAAGAACTGCAGACTGTTCTGGGATAGGAGACTGAAGAGTGGCATTTTTTGTTTAAAATAAATTTCCCTGGGAAGAGAAAAAGTAACATTTTGACTCTGCAAAATACAATAGCTCTTGAAACATTGTAACTTGAGCATCTAGTACATGAGAGGCCACAGGATCCATAGGTGTGGCATTTTTTTTTACTACTGACTCATGTTGGTAACCCCCCTCACAGGTGCTGGAGGTCACAATATTTCAGCTACAGGCAGGAAGAGAGACAGGTTGTTCATTTAGAATTTTATTTTACAAATTCAATTTATTTGACTTCTTTATCCTTTAAAAAGAACATGTGCTTTTTCTGTAAGGATGGAACACAACAATGCCTGGGGGTGTGTAGCAAGACAGTCGGGATGCAAAGAAAGGGAAAAGCTAAGACATCTATTTCTGTATGTGATTCTGGTCTTGGGCACTTGCATTCCTAAAAGGAATTACTATTTGTAAGGCAAAGGGATTTCTCCAGCTGGGACCATGGTAACCATGGCTGCATTCCTTTCAAACATTTCCAGACTTACTTTATCCAGTTACCAAATGCTTTCCCCCACCTTGGCGACTGCCTCAGCAACAAAACACAAAAGCAAAGTCTCTCCTTAAAAGCAGTACAGCCACCCCCTTTAGCACTTGGGCTTGGCAATTTCCAGCATTTTGGTTCTACCAAAATTAGTAATTATTTCTCTTGCTAAGTTTTCACAACCATCTGATGCGGTATCACACCAGAGCCTTGGCAGAGATTTTGTTACTCTATTTATGTGACCATACCAAAAACCTTTTGCTATGAGAAATTCAAAACCAAAACATAATTTTTTTTGGACTCTCCTTAGTATACAAAACTTGGTACCCATCCCTATGTGCATCTACGAAAAGCAACTTTTTAAAGTTTCATTAAGAGAATAAAAACTAAACTAACAGTTTCTTTTCTGAGAAAGTGATAGCCTGGTTCACAGTTTAACATGAAAAATATTACTACAAACTCTAACATTTTCTGCAAGTTCACCTCCTTGTTCCAGCAAAGGAGATCAACAGGTAAACGTGCTTTGTAAGCTGGTCCAGTCTGTCATATGGGCTATAAAAGAGTCCTTTTCTCTAAGGAAAAGATTCTGGTCAGAGCTTCACATTTTCTTCCAGAAATTTCAGGTGACGAGCCTTCGCGCTGTAACTCACGTACTTGTCTCCCATGTGCTCCCGCAGCTGCAGCTGTTCAGAACACACACAAAACAAAGCCCACAAAACTTACTGACGTGCACAAAAAGCAGGAACTACCAAAATATTAAATATTAACTACCAGATATTAACAAAAAAAAAAAAATACCAGGGCACTCAACTGAAAGCAGCACGCGAAGCTTGGCGAGGAGATGAGAGGAAAGGAAAATGAAAGTCTTTGTTGTCTGAAGGCAAGAGAGTTCCAAATCCCACCCAACAATTGAAAATATAAATCAGATCTTCACAGGTTACAAATGAAATACTGCATGGGTAAGATAGAAAATTACAATGCCTGCCCATGACTACATAAAGACTTTCTGGAATCAAGGTTTACCCTGTGTCAATAGGGTAAAGACACTGCTCATTTCTCTAGGTTTATGAAGAAATTAAACTATTTTACTATGAAAGACATTCACCTCTCTTTTTGCTTCATCATCATCTTCCATGATTCTGTACACCTCCTCAAGAAGTTTCACTCCCAATCCTTGCACCACATCAGATCTCAGGATTTCAACCATTCTCCTAATCTTGTCAGGAACTGTTAACATATCTATTAAAAATAAAACACAATTAAAAATCAATGCAGTAATAATTACTTTCAGCACAGACAATTTTCATACTCTGCAGAAGAATATGGAATAATAGTAATTATTACCACGGAATTCCAGAGCAACAGACCTGAAGGAATCTCTTCGATGTTTAATTCCTCTGATTCATCAGGTAATTTTCCATGCAAAATCAAAGTGTCTCGATATTTTTTATGGAGTTTAAACTCTGGGGCTGGAGTTGAGGTTCCACAGTACTCAGAGTTCTCCTTAGAGTCCATTTTCAGTGTCCAAGTCATCAGCTGCACCAAGTCATTCATTTCATTCACATTGCTTTTCCTAGGAGATGTAATTCAGTCATCACTTATGATGCAACTTCCACCCTACAGTCCAAGTACTTCCAATAATTTTAGTAAGGTCCTAGTAAGTATTCCATGTTAAATTACTTCTTGTGGGGCAGTTTTATCAATAGCAACACCAGCAGTATTCTTTCTAACAAAGGCTCAGAGCCCTGTCAGCCTGTAAAAATCCACACCCCTACTGGCTGCTGCCAACTCTGTAGCTGCACCTCCAGTAATGCAACAAATTGCAGCTTTTGGAAAGCTGCTTACACTGACAAAATCAGAAATAAATTCAGCCTCATTCACAGTGGAAAGGAAGCACATTGGCACCTTTTAATTAATGCTTTTAGTGAATCCTGACAGTACTTGTCCCTTGATGCTGGAAGACTGGTTTTCTGGGAAGCTACAGCTGACAAAAACCAGAGGCACAAAATTACATCCCAGGAAGTTCAGCATGGAACAGAAAGACAGTCACAGAAAGACAATAATTAAATGGAATTCTTTTCCTTAACACACCACATACTTCTTCAATCTCTCACTATGTGGAGACGAAAGTATGAAAGTCACTTTTTTTCCAGTCCAAATCGAGGTCTAATATAGCAGTGAAAACTCTTGAAGAGTATTAAAATACTTACCTCTCCTTGGAATCACCATCAGACTTGTCTGTAGAGCTTGTGGAAGAGCTCAACTCATCATCAGACAGGCAATGGGTTTCTTTCTTTTTCTACATGAAGAGGGAATAAATGACAAAAATTCTAATAGTTGGAAGTAATTTAGCAATATTTAGCAGTAATTTATACTGTTCTTATGTGGATGAAACACTTTTAACAAGCATATTTTTACACACTCTTACTGATAATATTTAAAAGGTATAACCTTTGGTTTTAAACACAAGTTAATACCCAGGGCATCATGAACATACTTCATGAAATGCTGATGTGACTACTGTGACATCTCAGTCACAAACCATTGCAAATGCTTCACCAGTATCCCAATTAAATCATGTATCTCTGTCAGTTCTTTGCCAATTGTATTAAAAAGGCATCACCCCTAGCCCAGCTATTTGTCTTTAAGACACATTTAAAAAATACTATTAAAATACATTTTCATCAGTTCAGTAAGTTCCCAGCATTCCCTGGGATTTCAACCACTTGGTTTCAAAAGCATCACCAGCATATGCACATACAACCAGCCTGTACCCCTGTAACCTCAGTTTGTGATTGTACACAACTTTTTGCATTTAGGTAACAGTTCTAAGCAAACACACATAGGTAAAACATGCAAAACACTTTCCAGGGAAGTGCTGAGCTGAGAAAATCTGAATTTCAGACTCAAATTTCTTCACTGTCCCTCTTCTGCATTTAACTACAGATTAAAAAAAAAAGTTCAACACCACAAACAAAGCAAAATCAGAGGCAGCAGGTAGTGTGTTGTTAACAGGAATTTAAAGCAGACTATTGATCTGTAACCAAAGCATAGTTCAGGATAAACTTCTTCCCTTCCAAAATAAAATACACTGTAATTTAGAGAGTCTATAGGAATCAGCAAGAGATGCCTAGTTATCTCTGACAAAGTGGAGTGAAAATGCACAGGAAGCCTGCAATGTTAAACTGATCTGGCCAAACAAAGTGGATTAGAGATCCATGCCCCATCCCAGGCCTTACAAAGCAGTATTTACAGAGAACTGTGCACTCTTAGTTACACGGAGTTTCTTCCACGCAGATTTGTTTTAAATATCACCTTCTTCCCAAATTATGCCTTCACTTAAACACTTGAAAGGCACATGACCCTGCTTTACCTGGGAAATACTGGGATCTGATGAGGACTGAGCAACTTTAACACAGTTTTCCACGTGTGATTTTGCTTCAACTACTGCACCATTTGACGACCGTCTTGCTGGAACCACTGGAAGGACATTTTTACAATATTTACAACCTATCCACATGTATTTTGAATAAGTTTCATGCTCATGCAAGAAAAAGTCTATCACCTGGCAGAAGGCAGGCAGGTAGGTAGGTATTCTGCTAAGGGAAAACATTGAAGCTTCTGTCTGAAAGGTGAATATTCTGTGTTTCATGTACATTTCCAAGACAAGTTATCACCACAGAACACAACTGAACATAACTGACTAAGCAGCAGAAAAACACGGGCATGTTAACAGAAATTTTTATCTAATACAGAA